CCTTCCTTGTGAAAAATCCGCGGAAATTTACTCAAAAGTTACTTGCTGTCTTTGGAATAATGCAAAAGACCATAATTACGACGATCCTGGAACAGAACTATTCAGAAATAATCGGTTTGTGAGTGGGGTAGGTTTAAACTCATCTCACAACATATTAAACTGCGGGGAAAGACAAACAAATATGCATTGTTTTCGCTTTTACAAACTTATACTTGAGAACTGTGGCCGTTTCCAAGCTAAATTACGTTTAAAGTATAAGATTTATAGCACAGTTCAGTAACGCAGCCAGTAGTCAAATTTCATACGTCTCATATTACACGATGCTCACTAACGAATCTCGGTCTAAAACGCTGATTTTTGTTACTATAAAATTTACTTATCTTACATTTTATATACACATGGATACAAGAAACCATTTTCCTTAATTACAATCGGTTAACTTTGCAGATATCCCTTTTTAAGTTCGTTTTTGAACGAAGCTCACTACAAATCTGTAAACAAATCTATATCTCATTGGCTATTTTATGACAGAAAGGTGAGAATCGTTGCTAGAAAATTATTCATATCTTAGTTCGTTACGAAAACTTGTAAAATCGTCCTATCTTGTAAAATATGCTGGATTTTAGATGCCTAGGGTGAATTTGTTTGATATTGTCTGCTATTAAGGCTTTTATGGCGTGTGAGCCATCAAAATATGGTGAGATTCGTGGTGAGATTCGTTTCTATATGGATCTCATTGTCACATATACGCGCTTAGTTTACTAACAAGTTGGCTCAGTTGTCAATTTTCTTTAAATAGAGTTCCAATACTGTTACCATGCATGGAATTCAATGAATTGTGACTAAAATATACCACTACAAGCCTTTAAATCTGGTTTTAAATATACGCGATGAAATTCAGCCGGATTTTAGCTATTTCCTAACACACGCATACGCAAGCATTGATAACACAGTACACGCAAATTATCTGTGTGCAACGAAATTGCTAAAGGACCTAAAATGTGTGAAGAACTTATGAAAATTGACTGCGTACACAGCTTGATGATGTCTACAAGTTGAATTAAGTTAAATTTAAGGTAATGGTATTACTTCAACAGACAATCTTTGACAATATAGATTGGGACAATCTAGTTTTCACATGCATTCGGTTGTAGTATACCATTTGCTGATACATATTTTCCACCTTCCCTCCCCCCACCCGTTTCAATGTTGGCGCCGCGCATCCAGACATCAGATTTTTGTTGGCCCAACATTGAACTGGGGGAACGGGGGGCGCTATTCCTTTCAAAATATATGAAATTACAGCAGCTGTCCCATAGTTTCTGGCAAAGATTGTAGATAAACTCGACTCTTCTGCTCCCTGTGCCTGTTGTCGAGTTTAGTGCGATTTTAGCTGATTTAAGAGAAATTTGACAGTTTTTACCCGCGATTTAATGCGACTTTAGGCGAGTTTAGATCCCAGAGTAGGCCTAAAGCCTAGTTTCCATTTGGTCGTTAGTTGTCGCTGGCAACAGGTGGGCAATTTGTCTGCGCATGCGCGAAGAAAATCAATATGGCGAAATATATTAGGAGTGTTTCGTGAATGTATCTGGATTTAAGCTGATAAAACAACATTTTAATGAACGCAAACTTTGTAATATTTAGTGGAAAACATTAAGCTATGCATTCCAAAGGTTTTAAATTGAAAATAAGTACTTCTGCTGTATTTTATTGCTTTTTATGCTTTGAAAACAGGCAAGCTCATTTTTTTGCAAAAATGTAATCTATTATTTTACCCATCATTTGTTTAATCTGAACAGAAATAGATAGAACACTTGGCTATATAAGTTACAAAGGTATTGTTAGCTGATCTGAAAAATTTCAGTATTCCTGGTACACATTTTAACAAAGAATAAAATGTAATTTCAAAAATTAAATATGCATATCAAAAACAATAGTTTTTATTAGAACAACATATAATAAGTTGTTATTTTCTATTTTTACAAAAACAAGTTTGGAAACAGGATTTAGCCCTCCAGCTTGATGTCATATTCCATTTATTTGGATATTTCAATAAAGAATGTGAAATAATAATTCAATCTTGTGCAAAATTTGATACCAACACACATGTAAACAGATATTATCACCTAAAAATAAAAGAAAACAGAACTTAAATTTATCATCTAATGCTATGAAAAAAATCTTAGATACTACAGGCATATAGTGAGCACAATTCTTTGACAAACTCACTAAAATAAGTTCAGTTATGCTATGATAAGAGGGTGGCAATATATGACAACATCAAATGTCACCATATTCAGTGTCCAAAAAAAGTGCCGCGCGCATTTTTCATGGTCGCATAAGTTTTTCCAGGTAAACAGATTCAACATTGAAATAAGCCCCATTCGGAACCTCATAGAAACCAAAATATTGTGTATGGACCAGATTTTTTTCAATTTTCTGTGATTTACATGACACTAGTTATAATTTAAGGGTCAACCAGTATTGTTCAAGACATATCTTCCTTCCAGAACACCTTTTCAAAATACTAACCCAAACATGTCAAAAATAGTGCACATTTACAAGGGCAATTTCAACCCTTTGGCACATTTTTCCCATGAATGATTTTAATTCTAATAAAAAGACTACAGATAAAGCTTTGATTTAAAGCTAGTTTCAAGTGATGAGCATACCCTAATTTTTAAGCTAAACGTCAAGGAAGATAGGTCATTTCAACATAAACATTGAAATATGGGTATACTGACAGCTCTGTCACACTTGTAGTTTGGCATTAACAGCCCTTCTGAAACATTTTAATGAAAATATAATTCAAAAAATTCACATTTTCACTTACTTCTTAACATCTGTTTTAATCCAACTAGCTCTGTAGGCACGAGCAAAATCTAGTGTTGATGTAAATATCCATTTAGTTCATGTTTCCCAGGTGAAATATAGTCTATTCCAAAGCTGGATTTCGACATACTTTAGCTTTTCAGAAACCGTTGGCCTTCCTCAGTAAGATTATCAACTGTTTCACAAACATATTTGATAGTAAACAGCTAAAATATTCTCTGAAAGTCTGTATTTTTCACTCTTCGACGCGAAAATGGCAACTCGAGAAGAAATGAGCCGCTATTTTTGGTCAGCGTCGACAAATTGCCCACCTGTTGTCGCTGGCACGACAATCGGTAGATGTGAAATAGTCTAATATAATAATAGTCTTTTTGTGTGATATGCAAATCAGTGTTAATGATTGCAGAGTTTTTTGTTGACACTCTGTTACATCAGCCACTTGTCGTGCCAGCGACAACTAACGACCAAATGGAAACTAGGCTTAATGGAAGCAGCAGAAGCATAAAAAATCGGAACAATATCAAGTGAATATGGTAAAAATATAGCGGATGAAAACCAATTGCTTACCTTTACAAGCAACGTGTACTGTTTGTATTTTAGATTAGACAGGTAAAGTAGAATTGTAGAAGTAAATTTGACGCAGTAATTTATAGATACACTCATTGTGTTTGCATCGCAGGGAAAACCCGTACAATATGCAGATGTTGTATCATATTGTGGAACACATACCTGATACACTGGAGGGGGTATTAAATTTATAACAAAGTATAATCCATTGAAGCCGGCAACTCAATGAAATAACTTATGTCAGTGGAACGAAATGCAAACCAGAAATAATTTTATTCCTAAACGCGCTGCAACACTTTGCACAAATTAAACCGCGCGCACAAAGTGCATAAAAATAACAGACCTGCATAAAAATGACAAATCTTAATCTCACATTTTAGTCTCTTTAGCAAAACAACATCAATATATAGCAAATGTACTGTTTATACACCCAATACAGTATAATATCACTACTCTTATACAGTGTAATAGGTTTATTTATTGAAAAATAATTATGAATGATTTTTTGAATGAATGAATGAATGAATGATTTATTGATTTGGTTTACCACAAATACAAGTAAATAATAGCTATAAAGTAAATACAAGTAAATAATAGCTACAAAGTTTTCATCAATAGCAGGCATTAATTTCTCATATGCGCAAAAGGTAAGGGATGTCGTCTATTTCCTAACAGCAAAAAATCAATTTCTTAAGAAAAATGATTTTCTTAATTTAAGAAAATATTTTCTTAAAATGAGAAACTTGTTTCCTAAGAAAACGTATTTTCTTTATTATTAGCATGACAATATTACTGGATGCTGATTGGTTGAGAGGAGTACAATTATTTCATTAATTATTTATCTTCTGTAATCAGTGGCAAATACTGCAATTTCATTGTACAGGAGTGCGATTTGAGCATTAATCGCACCTTTTCTGAGCTGTAATCGCACTCTTGTCTACAGCCAATGAAAATCAGTCTAATATTTACAACTAGCCAATCAGCATTCAGGATACAAACTTTGAATTTTATTTTCTTTATTGCTGTAAAAAATTTCAAAATGGAGGAATTCACAAATTTTGAAAATTTTGACCTTTTAATTTTTAAATCAGCCCTAGCTCGAAAACCGTCAAAATTGAGGTCGGAAAAAAATGCAGACCTAAATCTGACCTAGCTCGGCACATCTCAGCATTTTTTAAAATCTGTTTCCATGTCTTGGAGCACTAATAGCCTACACTAGTAATCACGTATTTACGAATCATTGAAAAGTATAAATGTCACGAAGGCTTTTCTTTTAGAGTCTTACCTAAATTATATCATAATACCCGTTAATTCTTAAACCTTACACCAAAGTGTATCGAATTCTATAATCGCTCACTTTTTAACAGCTATAAGCACCAAAAAAGATTCTCACTTTGGCTGAATTAAGGTCGGCAAAACATAGCCGACCTGGGAGGTTGATAGGTCGGCATTTTAATAGGTCGGCATTGCCGAATGCCGATCTCGTTTTCGAGGATTGTTAAATTATATATTTTCTGACGAAAATGACCTACCTGTTCTTCCAGCAGAAGACACCGAACTAGACACAACCAGGAGTTGTATTTCAATCAAATTCAGATGATTAACTTAACTAAAGAAATTCACTATTTTGAACACGTTATAAACACACAAACATGGCTTCCCAATTGTGTGTTGAATAATTCAAACAAATGTTGTCATGTGATTATACCGGAAATAATGCCCGGAAGTTAATAATATGTTAATTTGATAATATATGATAAATAATTCAAAGTTGTACTATTTCACCAAGAATTGTCGTGACAAAAATTTAATAATTATATTGAATTTCAACAAATTGTATTTTTGTGCTTTTCCCCTTTAAACAGTTTGATTACAGAAGATAAATAATTAATAAGTAATAGAATGAATTAAGTCGTACTATTAATGCCATATTCATACTCGTGATTAACAAATCAACCTCCCGCTACACGGTCGGTTGATTTTGTAATCACTCGTATGATTATGGCATTAATAGCACTCCTATTCGTTCTATTACCATCATTAATTGTACTGCAGTACAATTAATGATTTTCCCAAAACAAACAAAATGGCGGAAACGTATTTTAAACTCAAGCGTGAAATGAAATTGCCGTGGAGGAACTAGATGAAAATACGAACACAAGCACCAAATTTTGCTTTAACAAAAGAACTAAATGAAAATACAAACAAAAGCACCAAATTTTGGTTGAAAGTCTGGCAGGACTGGGCTTTGGCGAGAGAATATGATGTTGACATTGAGAAGTACGTATCCAATTTTGTCATGCTAATAATAAACAAGTAATCATGCGATGTTGCTCGTACAATTAGGGATTAATAGTACTCGTGATGTTTGGAAATTTACCAAATTGGACTCACCCCGGCGGCTCGTCCAATTTTGGCAAAATTTCCAAACATCACTCGTACTATTAATCCCTAATTGTACTCGCCATCGCATGATTACCTATACTAATTTAAGAAAATGTTTTCTTAAAATAAGAAAATAATTTATTAAGAAAAAAATTATTCTTAATTTAAGAAAACTTTTTCCTAAACTGAGAAAATTATTTCTCAAGAAAAATTACTTCTTGATTTAAGATAACTGTTCTCTTAAAATGAGAAAATTATTTCTTAAAAATATATTTCTTGATTTAAGATAACCCGGTTTTCTTAAAATAAGAAAATTATTCCTGAAGAAAAATACTTCGTATATAATATAGTGAATTCCACATATAACTGTTTTCTTAAAATGATAAGTTATTTCCTCTAACTGCATGCATGCTTTATTAAAACGAACCTCGTTTTTCAACATAACTCATAAGACGTTTTCTCTTGAAAATATATACATTAATTAACCGTTTCTTGATTGATGGAATGATTAATTTCCTCAATGTAAGAGTATCTTTTTCAAAATAAGGAAGTTGTTTTTGCAAAATTCTTGAATTAAATTAAGTACAAATTGCACCATGCATGCACATGCATATTACGATTTTTAATCGTTATAGTTTCTATATAATTTTTATACACACATGCAATAATTTCAACTGATCAGATGTCTCTGTTGTTATTCAGACTCCATATCGTAGTATGAATCGCAATCACATGGATCTCAGCATTTTCATAAAAAGTAAAAAGTAATAATAATTGCCAAAATCCCAAAGGATTCACCGTTTGACGTTCGACAAAACAACCAGACAATGCACTCGAGACTGCACGCGCAGTTATCTCGCGAGCGGATAAGCCAGTGCTTAGAGGACTCTAGACTTGCTCCAAGTCTCTCTTTCATTGTCATATATTATCGATCCACTATAGTGTACATTACATGACGAAGCACGGAATAAGAGGACTCTGGGTAAAGACGCAGCAATTTGAACTTTGATCCTTCGGCGGTTTGACTTTGGGACAAAGAGCTTATAGTGTAAACTAGGGCAGCCTCGTCCCCGGCGCTTTGATGTTGCGTGACGCGCGCGCGGGAGGACACGCGTGGGGGGAAAGGAAAAATTCGGAGCGAAGCGCCTGGGAGAAAATGCTTTCAAGATGGCGGAAAAAACAAGTGATTTGCATTTTTGTCTTGACAACGATAGTGAAGATGGTCAGTATAAACAGGTAAACTTTTTAAAATTCAAATTACTATTTTAGTATTTCATGGAATTCATGAAAAAATGTTGGGAATAAGTGGTAGACTTTATTTTTTAGAAAATAAGCCACAAATATTTATGTGTGGTTGTAGATATAAAACCTTTTTGTATTTACTGTAACTTTATGCGATAATTTCATCCCTCAATCCCGAAATTAAATGGTTGCACAGTACAGGTATATCAAGAGATGAAACTATGATGTGCTAGTATATTAAATTGGGAATTAAGGTTTTACATATTTAGTCAAGGGTTTTGTTATGCATCATGAGCTTGTGGTGGACTGGTGCAGGACAGAGCTCAGCTGCTAGGGGCAGCTGATCTGAGAAGTGAGAAGGCATGTTTTATATCTAGGATTGTAGTTTATGTCCTCTCTGATAGTTTGTTGCATGTGTATATTAAGTTATCAAAGGGGCAGTGTCACGGTTCTACTGCTCATCCAAAATATGCGCGAACTTGAAAAAATTCTGCCAACAATTAATCAAGTTAGGAGTGAAATACGATATACTATTTATAATCCCTTCGTTATGCAGGACATCCTTGCTTTGTTTTAAAAATTGAAGGCTGCTGCATCTTCCAATCATGTAGCATTAATTTTATACATGTCTTTGCGTCGTTTATTTTAGCCAATCAGCGCTGTGACACTGCCCCTTTAAATCGTTTCTAGTTCTGCCATGTTTCTGTCCCCGAGGTTATCAAGGGCTGTTAATGCGGACAGCTAGCCCAGTAAGCGAGACCGCGCTGTGTGGTTATTTAAATATTTTTATAGTGGAAATTCCTTTCAATTTGTATGGACAACCTGACTGGCTCAGAGAGATCTCACTTGAAGAAGGCAACATCTCACTTGAACAAGCAACATCTCAGTTATACCGGGAGGATATTTTGTGGCTATATAAAACACTAACCAGACTGACTTGATCAAAATACAGTCAAAACAACAAAATTAGTCATGACAATATATGTCAAAACAATAGAGACGCAGAAATTTCCAACAATGAGTGCATGCTACTGACATTGTTATTGAAACTGAGTACCAAGCAACATGTTTGAAAATTAAAGATGCAAAATCTTGATTAATTTTGTATTATTTTAAATTAATAATTATTAAACCTAACTGTACAATCAAGTTACATGTAATAGAGTATTATTATAACTTTGTAGCTCCATAGGCTATTCTTTCGCTGTTCCAGGTTTTGATCCACAAAGTTATAGAGAAAAGTCATTGTTAGTTCTGCCAATTAGGTCTGGCAAGTGCTAGTGTACCACTACACCACTACTCTTGCGATTTGAACATTCAAAAGAACTTGTATTAATCTCTTGTCCACATGACTTACATCACCCTGAATGAGAAATGTCCATTATTCTTATAAAATAGTGACATTACGTATCATTAGAACACACTTTGAAGAAATATTGAGTCACATATCCCACAATCTGATTACAGGGAAATTTACTTTAGAGAAGAACCCAAACCCAACTGTTCAGGTAGACATTTATATGTTAACCCATTGAGTGCCAGCACTCTCCTGTTGACGAGTAAAATTGTCAGTGTTAGACACTTAGACAAAGTAACATAATAAAGTAGGATGCAATGCAACCTAATGGGTTCATTATGGTATGTCAGATAAATTGACTCGTGCAATTTTTCACATATGAGTTCTGGCATTTACAAGCCCTAGTTTGAAACCAACTTTAAAGCCTACAACAGGTAATTGCAGCCAACTATTAAGTTAACCCATTAGGCTGCCATGCACCCAAGCTTGTTATTTTACTTTCAGACCATCTAATGGCAGGCAATTTTACTTCTCAAGGGGACAGCCTTGTCCATTAATGCATTAATTGTGTTTCTTAACTCCCAAAGTTTCATTTTACATTACAATATATCACAACTGATCTAAGGTTCACAAATAATGTCTAACTGAAATGTTGGGCTCTACTCCAATACTGGGGACACCACCACTGAAGCTGCTCTCAAACATGTCATCAATCAATTTAAAATTGTTTAATTGTCAGGGCATAATTTTGGTCAATGCCAAGGTGGCTGATACATGTACTGTACACCTTTTATTCCTACAAATACTTTTAGAACTACAACTCTAATGACTGTGGGATTTATAGAACTACAGTATGTTTGGCCAGATGAATATTGTAAACCTCTGAATATAAGCCCTGGGCTAACTTATATTTCTTTGTACTTTGTAAGCATTTTTGATGGACTGAGCTGTTGGATTCCTGGCCCTCGCTGCACTAATAAATACCTGTCGAGGGGCTTACATTAGAGGTGGCTTATATTCGGAATCGCCCGAGTAAATATGGATGGTGGGATTATACATAGGGGGGGGGGGGTTATATGTTTGTGGTAATTGCTTGATTGCAATGGGTATTGAATGGTTTGAATCTGATATCTTTGGCATGGCAAAACCTTTTTTCACTTGTCTGTCATGAATTGACAATTTAATAATACAACTACACTGTAATTATTAATAACTGCTAGTCTGCTACAAGAACCTGGCAAAGATATCACTCAAAATTTGTCAGGGAAAATTTACTAATACTAAATAAATATAAGTGTACAGTATAAAGGGCTCCGAAATCATACGCAGCCTTAAAACCCTACGAACACGTTGATCAGAATGATTTTTATATAAATGTTTGGTTCACATAATATTAAAATTATAAAATTATAGCAGTCAACAAGACAATAAATCATATTAAAATATATAATGAGACAAATTCATACAAATTTACCTTCAAAGGAAATATTGTGAAGAGATTCACTGATCTCGTCCATGATTCCGTCGTGAATAAAGCAAAATAATCAAGAAAATCGAACAATGGCTTTGAAAGTTCAGAAATCGACAGAAATTTCAGAAATCGACACGTTTTCTGCGAGGCGCTTCCGCGTCCCGTAGTGAGCAACGCACCTCCATTCCCACGCGTGCGTCACGCAACCAGTAAGCACATCAAAGCGCCAGGGACGAGGCTGTAAACTAGGGTACCTGCAAGGTAGGGATTGCTGCGGGCATTAAAAGCAAATAGAACTACAGTAAGGGACTGCTCATTACTTTTTGTACAAGGGGATACTGAGGAGAAACTCTACAGTTATAATATTTTTTCGTTGCCCCCGTCTTAAGACAAGTAAAATTTTCAAAGGCCCCTAACAGGCAAAAACAAGGACATAAATTTTGGTCCCCCCCGCTCTAGCTCTTTATCTTTATTTAGAGAAACAAAAACTCTAGCTCTTTATTTAGGGAAACAAAATAGATAATGGGGACAAATAGACTATCCCCATTATAGACTAATTATTTATCTGAACAAAAAAGTATATTTCCGGGAAGGGCATACTAAAATTAGTAAAATTGCAAAGTTTGGTTGCAAAATGTTGTAAAATGTAGAAAATATAGCCAAATAAAGTTTGCAAATTTTGTACACTTTTGTATTACAATTTTCGCATGCAATACAAAAGTATACAAAATTTGCAAACTTTTCTATATTTTCCGTATTTTACAACATTTCGCAACCAAACTTTGCTATAATTTACTTATTTTAGTATGCTCTTTCTAGCTGTGGTGATTTATTTGCATCAAGGCCGGATTTTGAGGCGAGGTGTGGATAGGTGCGCACCTCCCCTGAGATCGTTTTGCACCTCCCCTGAGAATTTTTGCACCTCTCCTGAAAGGTCATGCACCTCCCCTTGCGAAAGTTTCAATGATGGAACAAAGTGAAAATGTGATGGTTGCTTAGGATCTACACTTCGTAACGTAAGAAAGTTTTCTCTGTAAAATTGAAACAGTGATAGCCATTCATCTCTGTGTCAGGTACCCTTTTAATGCAATGTTTTGAAAGAAACTTTGTAGCAATTGTAATGAAGGGCAAGATTGGAGTCATACAATCATAATTCATTAATACATTGGTACATATGTACACTACATGCATACCTCACCTTGTTGATATTGGGGGGTTGTGAGCTAAACTGCTGCACCTCCCCTAAATTTTTTTTCCACCTCCCCCACTATTTTCACCAAAATCCGGCCTTGATTTGCATCTCTTATTCTTTTTGCCTAGTTCTAAAATTAGTCTATAATGGGAATTATTTACATGGACATAGGAGACTTTCTATTTGGCTTCCATTTATGAATATTAAAGTCTATAAACATTGTTATTTGTTGTTAAATTGTTTTGTGATACATTTTTAAAACTACTAATGTTTTTTTCAAACTTGTAAATCTTTTCGAAGCCCCCCTTCTTTCGTCTCTCTGTATTTTTTCAAAGCCCCCCCCTTTCAGGTTTTAAAAAATTTAAAGCCCCCCTCCCCCAGTTTCTCCTCAATCTCCCCTGTACAATAAATAATGAGCGGTCCTTAAACAGCACAAATTATATCAAGCACAGTGATTACTTGCAGCGACCAGTGAGCTGTGAGCTGTGAATGAAACTGAGAAGAAGCAATATATATTGAAGTAGGAAAGACCAGGGGTTAAAGGGCAATTAGAGGTGACAGATATTAAACATGTGCGTCTCATTGACATACAGGTAAATTAATATCAGATTTCATATCAAGTCTGTTTACTGCTAGGTGCGTTTACCACATTATATAGACTATATTAGGCCACATAAAAAAAAAAGTTGGTTAGCGTCCCCGCCCGCCCACAAAAAAGGCCCCGCTCAGGACTTTTTTTTATTTTTTTATTTAAAAAAAACCCGACTTTTATTGATCAACGCGCTCTAGTATATGTAGTATTTCTGTTGACTGTAGTCAATTGTGTTAATAATTTGCGAAATTGCGTGCGAAAATGACGGTATGAATTGTATTTTGAAATATATAAAAAATGATCTGCACTGCGCAAGAAAATCCAGTTTCGGACCTAACAGTGAGTAAAACCAAGGCGTTAAAAATTAGTAAAAATTAAAAAAGGGCCCGCCCGCCCACTTTTTGGCAAAAGCAAGGACGCTAACCAATTATTTTTTTTTATATGGCCTTATACACAGATTTATCACACTAAGAAACCAAAACTTTATAAAATATAGAACTGACAGTGGCCAAAGTCCAAAACAAATGTAGGCGTAACATTAGACTTGAAAAAGCTTTAGAAATTTGATAAAAATTCGAAGACTCGAGCGAGTTTAAAATTTGTGTTCCGCGCATAGAAAGCGCGCACGACCACAATTCCATGCGCTAAATAAAATTTAGTTCAAAACCCCCTCTCGGCACATATTAAGCTGCTGCTACGCTCGTTCGCTCCGCAGCAATTATGGTCGTTGAAAATTTTAATTTTGGACACCTAAACGCATCGCTTGTTCATATTTTTTGTATTAGAAAGCCCAGTGTTTTGCAACAACCAGTCGATTTCCCGTCGTTGGTTATACATCTCAAGTCTTGACTCTGCAATTCTCATTGCTCGTACATATTTTCTCAATGAAACACAAAAATGGGCGGGTAATAAATACCGATTATTGTCAGTTAATGCTAAAATCTCAATAATACAAACAACATGATAGCGGTTTGAACGTGCATATATTCAAGACGATATTTGAGCATGCTGTAGGCCTATATTTAATACTGTATATGCACCTGTATTCAAAATATGTAAAACGACACCAAATAGTGTGCAGTACTCCTGTTTAAATCAAATCTGATTTCGTGTCGACCATTGATATATGCTGATTCAAGTATAAACTCGATAGTTCATAGTGTTTAATTACCGGTATCAAACTTATAATTTTACATTAAAATTTATAGGGGTTGATATTTATGATGTTACTCTGAGTGTGTATCCATACTGGGCAAGCTTGAAAAATATGCCTGGCAACCCTTACAAAAAATCCACATGAATTCACACATGTGATTTCATGTGAACTCATGTGATAACATGTGAAATTATGTGATCTTATGTGAAATTTAACATGTGAAAAAATTTCACATGAAATCACATGTGAAATTTCACAAATGAAAGGATTTCACATGAAATCACATGTGACATTTCACATGTGAAAAGATTACACATGAAATCACATGTGACATTTCACATGTGAAAGGATTTCATATGAAATCACATGTGACATTTCACATGTGAAAAGATTTCATATAAAATCACATGTGACATTTCACATGTGAAAGGATTTCACATGAAATCACATGTGACATTTCACATGTGAAAAGATTTCATATGAAATTACAATTGAAATTTCACATGTGAAAGGAGTTCACATGAAATTATAAATTACAAGTGAAATTTACATGTGAAAGAATATAATTTCACATGAACGTTACAAACTACAAGTGACATTTCACATGTGAGAGGATATCACATGAAATTACAAATTACAAGTGAAATTTCATATATATGTGAAAAGATTTTACATGAAATTACAAGTGAAATTTCACATGTGAAAAGATAAGGATTTCACATGACATTACAAATTACATAGTGAAATTTCACATGTACGTGAAAGGATTTCACATGAAATTACGACTGAAATTTCACATGTGAAAGGATTTCACATGAAATTACAAATTACATGTACAAGTGAAATTTCACATATGTGAAAAGATTTCATACGTAAAATTACAAGAGAAATTTCGCATGTGAAAAGATAAGGATTTAATGATCACATGACATTACAAATTACAAATTACAAAGTGAAATTTCACATGTACGTGAAAGGATTTCACCTGAAATTACGACTGAAATTTCACATGTGAAAGGTTTCGCAAGAAATTACAAATTACAATGACATTTCACATGTGAAAGGATTTCACATGAAATTAAAAGCAGTGGCGCCGCCAGGCCTCAGAAATTGGGGGGGGGGCGAGTTTTGAAAGGCAAACTAATTTTTTTTGGGGGGGGCAAGATAGAATTGTTAAATAGCTAGTGCTATTTGCCCATGCCGTTGTCATAGGACTGCCCCCTTCAAGGAGATTCGCCCCCCCCCCCACACTATAGGAATATCGCCCCCCTTTAGGATATTCGCCCCCCATATAGGTGATGTGGTTTATTCAAATTTCGTGATACGTTTATCTTATTAGTGCCTTACACGTTTGAGAATTTAACTCTGCAAAACTAAAGCTTTTTTGTCTTTTTTGAAACGTGTTATTGGAGTATTTGGCAAGTTTACCATTCAGAGATTTACAAACTAATATTGAAACTGTAAAAACAGTATTATACGCGGCATTCACTAATGACTAATGAGAACTTATAAACCATACATTTTCTGATAACGACAAAACGCTTCCTTTAGTCGCTCTCAGTGTTTAATAAGTTTTTTTGAGGGGGGGGGGAAGTAATTGTGGGGGGCATCCCCCTGCCACCCCCCTGGCGCCGCCACTGATTACAAGTGAAATTTCACATGAGATTACAAGACTGTGAAATTTCACATGAGAAATGATTTTATATATAAAAGTAAAAAAGTGAAATTTCACATGTGAAAGATTTCACATGAAGTAAAAAGTGAAATTTCATATGTGAAAGGAATTCACATAAAGTTACAAGCGAAATTTCATATGTTATTTAAAGGATTTCACATGAACGGTAAAAAGTGAAATTTCACATGTTAGAGGATTTTATATGAAGTTAATATGCAACTGAAATTTCATATGTAAAATGATTTCACATAAAGTAAAAAGTGAAATTTCACATAAAATCATGCACTGCAAAACATCAAATTCTAGTCTAGAATAATATTCTTATTTTTTAGATTATTTTTCGTATTTTAAGTAATTATTTCTTATCAAGCAATAGTTCAAGAAAAAAATCTCGTTTTGAGAACAAGGCAAGAATTGGAATATTCGAGAATTTTTTTCTTATTTTAAAAATAACATTTTTCCAACCTAGAATAATATTCTTATAATCAGAAAAAAATTTTGAAATGAAGTTTAATATTACTTTAAGTCCTTTAATTAAAATCGCATAGTAAAGCTAGGGAGCGCTTTTTGGTGTATCTATTTTAGAAGACAAGTGCCATGCGCGCAATGAGTTGTGGGATATCGCGTATCAAATATCAAGTGTCTAGTGTGATTTGCAAATTTTCGATTTTTTTCGTTTGGATATATTTCGCTCAAGAAAAGCTATATTTCGCTCAAGAAAAGCTAAATTTCGATTGGATAAGTGACTCTAAGTCCTGCTAAAGGCTTATTGATCTCAGGTATGTATTATTTATCACTTATTTACTGAGACCGAGGGAAACAGTGTGTTTTGTGGACCCGAGACCGTCGATGTTTCCCGAGGCGAAGCCGAGGGAAACATCGACGGTCGAGGGTCCACAAAACACACTGCTTTCCCGAGGTCTCAGTAAATAAGTGTTTTATTATATATCAATAGTCAAAGAAACAACAAATTAAAGAACAAATGAACGTAAATACACGAAATATTTTATTGTTAAAACGTTATATTAAACACTGGCTACACTGCAGTTACTTAAAGCGAAAGTTTTAATTACGTACTAGGAATGTCCAAAGGTCGCATCTTCACGTGATGGCGCACGTGATTTCTTTTGTTATTCGCCGGTCGATAACGTATTATCTCCCTCTCGCGCTGTTGCGAGGGAGACAGCCTAATTTCGTCACTCTCACGTGATATGCTCTCAACCAATAAAACACTAGAAAAATGCGACTTTGACTATTGATATATAATAATACTCTTTATATCATATAATTATAACGTCCATCGACCCTATTTATATTTCATTCTGCTAAAATTTGAATTTGCGCGCACGAGATTTTATATATTGAAATTATTTCATTTCAATGCCGCCAAATATTAGTTAAAACCAACAATTCAAATTTTGAACAAGCACATTATAGTAAATACTGGGTTGCACTTGTTTGACAAAACTCGAGAAAGCATCTTTGAACCCACACAGTGTATTAATATTTGAAACAATATGTGAAATGTGAATATGGGTTTGCTTTGCTACAAGTCTATTTAAGCCAAACCATGAGAATTATTTGAGAGTATTAATTAAATTATGTTCTTTTAATCACCTCTCCCCTGGATTTCCAAGGTCTTTCAAGTCATTGAGTGCCACTGAGCTCTCTCCCCTTGACAAGTAAAATCACATAGGCATTAACTCTGCCTAGGGTTACTGGCCGGGTTAGACTGAGTAAAATTAGTGGTGTTTACACTACAAGCCTTGGCCAGGCCAAGATAAATGTGGCATGTTTACACCATTGCACTATTTTTTTGAGGTCTACAGGCTCACTTTGGCCAAGAATTTTGTTATTAATTTTGTGTATTTTTATGTGTTGTGATGTTGTCTGCTGGTTGTCTGCTAATCTCTCACTGTGGACACATGTTACCATGAAAATCAGTCCCCGGCCAGGGCCGAAAGTGTTTACATTTCCACAAGCCAGGTAGGCTTACGCCAGGTCTGTTGTAGTGAGTCCAGATTTCCTGGCCTAGGTCAGGACAAGGCTGGGCCATTTCCACAAGCCTAGGCTTAGGCCAGGTCGGTTGTAGTAAGCCCATATTTCCTGGCCTAGGTCAGGGCAAGGCTAGACACAAGGCTGGTAGTGTAAACACGACTATTGAATGCATCAGGGTGCATTACGACTAAATGGTTAGTGTTTCCCACAATATGGTAAAAAAGTATAAACTTTTGCTAGCTTGAGCTTGGATGATTTCCAAGCTAAACCCTTCTAGAGTTTACCCTGTATACATGTGCCTGTTTATATGATAATGGCATGACTGGACAGTATGTTTTAATCCAGGACTATAGACGGAATACACCCCGCCTGGCAGGAATGATAGAGTGCTTACTGTATATGAGAATTTCTTGTCCTGGCAGGTGGGATCCTGTCTAGGCCAGATAGAAGTAGAATAATTCACTTTAATTACTAAACAGTTGATAGAGTTCACATTGCATGCTGGATCATGCCGGCGGTATCATAATAATTACAAAGTGGCTACAGTATGATGCTTGTGATGTTACTCTGAGTGTATATCCACAACGGGCAAGCTTGAAAAATATGAAGGATTTCAGCAAGCTCAAAAATAGATCACAAGGTTAGGCAGATGGCTGCTGTGCTGTAGTCTGTGGTTCGAACCCGAGTTGGGACAGGTTTTTGTTCACCTTAACTAAACATGTCTTTTTTTCTGATTAGTTTTATTTTTTAGGGGTAGAGGTTAGGATTAGTTTTGTTTGAATTTGACTTTAACTATAAATACAACCTGTGTGGAGACTAAGAATGAGAGTGCCATAAATATAGCCTGGCAAAGTTTGTTTACGGGCCTGAAGATATACAGTAGCCACTTTGTAATAATTATTTATAAAAGCAATTTAATTATAATTAAATGGATCAAATGATTGGATAATTACTGCAGACTTTATAAAAACAGTCTAAGCTTACAACGGCATATTAATTACAAGAGTATGCACCAGCATACTTGAGAGTAAAATGGTCTGGCATTAGACAGAGTACAATAATCTGGCATTTAAAAGACAGTAAAATAAGGAAGTAGGGCACACAAGGGTTAGGGTACAATACAACTTAATGGGTTCACTAGACACATGGCCATATTAACCCAACAAAACAGAAATACTTCTCAAGAAGTTTAGCAGGACATTAAGATGGGGTGTTAACTGGATATTACACTAGGCCGAACATGCATAAACTGCATTGTACCACAACTTTATTGTTTTAAGGCGGTTTTCCAGTCCTCGCACAAAGCTCCTTGCAGCTCGCTGCGAGGGCTTGTATCTAATTAAAATTAACTGTTTAGCATTGTGATTGGATGAAACTGCTCATGCATGCACTCGCAGCGAGCTGCGAGGAGCTTCGTGTGAGAACTGGAAAACCGCCTATACTCTGTCTGATGGGTCGTTCCAGAAAAGATCCACTCTCCCCTGGGCACAGAGGAAATTTCTACCGTCAGGAGGGGAGGGGAGAAAAAATTGTTTCTGATAATAGTAAGTGTATTAGGACATTCAAATTTCGAAGGGGATAGGGGATTAACTTCCAATCTCCTTCATACATAATCTTATGAATCTATTCAAAGTTTTCTGGAATGAGCCAATAGCATATTAAATCACAAATACCAACAACCAGTAGCAGATACCTCGTAAAATATTGGGGGTACTGTTGAGATGTCTGTTAACAAATCCTATCTAGTGCATATTTCTCTTGTTCACCCATTCACTGGCAATATGCTCTACTTTATATTACTCTGTCTAATGCCAGCAAATTTTACAGTTTTACTTGTTGAGAAGATAGCCTTGAAGCAGTTTCCAATTTGCCATGTTTCGCCCACACAGAGAATACAGTACATTACAGGGGATGAGAAGGGTAAAAGCCATATGAACCAAGGGTTATCAATTATGATAATACTAGAACCAACTTCAACCAAAGGTTGGGTTGTGCTACTACATTAGGTCTTCCCATTCGTAATAATGTGCAAAGTTTATAGGTTGGACAGGAGGGAATTGCTCATATATTGCTGCATGCGAACTGTGAACTTGTACTATATACTGTAATGTTAGCTGACCGGTACATGAAATACAGTATGTAGAGCTAATGATAGTCTTGTATTTCCTTTCTTATAGCTCATGTGACTAAACGTTTTGCGGGAGCAACAGCTTCATCAGTGAAAGGTGCCATGGCCCAAAAGTGCAAAGACAAAAGAAATGCTGATATGAAAAGAAGAAAAATTGCAGAAGACATTTGAACTGCTAAGTTTTTTCCTTATTATAAATTATTTTGTATGGTAGCTAAACATTTGTAGAAATTAACTGTATTAATAAATTATTTAAACTTCCTATATATACCATTACAGTATCTCACTGTTTAACAGGTTAAATGTGCATGATTGAAGCTTTGCATAATTTCACATGTGAAACTGGAACATGTGATATTTCACATGTGTATTTGGAACATGTGATATCTCACATGTGAAGTTCCACATGTCAACACGTGTGAAATTATGTGTTTCACAGGTAAAGTTTCTCATGTGAAGTTTCACATGTGAATTTGGAACATGTGAATTTGGAACATGTGACTTTTCACGTGTAAACACATGTGAAATTATGTGTTTCACATGTGAAGTTTCACATGTGACATTTCACATGTGAATTTGGAACATGTGAATTTGGAACATGTGACTTTTCACATGTGAACACATGTGAAATTATGTGTTTCACATGTGAAGTTTCACATGTGAAATTTCACATGTTGATTTGGAACATGTGAATTTGGAACATGTGATTTTTCACATGTGATCACGTGTGAAATTATGTGTTTCACATGTGAAACTTCACATGTGAAATTTCACATGTGAAGTTTCACATGTGAATTTGGAACATGTGAAACATAATTTCACATGTGAAATTTCACATGTGAAAAATCACATGTTCCAAATTCACATGTGAAATTTCACACATGTGAAATCATATGGAATTTTTGTAAGGAAAGGGTGGGAATCGAACCTACGACCTTTGGAATACTAGCCCAATGCTCTGCCAACTGAGCTACGCGGTCAGGTCGGTTCGAGAATGTGATATTTCGTAACTGAGTCTACTTACTTCGACATCAATGTAATCTATAATCATGATTTTTTTGTGTGTTGGTGTTGTGTACTCAGGTGAATATGATACCGGTATTTGTGATGTTACTCTGAGTGTGTATCCACACTGGGCAAGCTTGAAAAATATGCCTGGCTACAGTGGGAATCGAACCTACGACCTTTCGAATACTAGCCCAATACTCTGCAAAAAAATCATGATTATTAGATTACATTGATGTTGAAGGAACTAGACTCAGTTCCGAAATATCACATACTCGAGCCGACCTGACTGCGTAGCTCAGTTGGCAGAGCATTGGGCTAGTATTCCAAAGGTCGTAGGCTCGATTCCCACTGTGGCCAGGCATATTTTTCAAGCTTGCCCGGTGTGGATACACACTAAGAGTAACATCACAAATATCATATTCACCTGAGTACACAAGACCAACACAAAAAAATCATGTTTATAGGGGTTGTTCATATGAGAATGTCTATATAAGGGGCCTGTTTAAATGGAGGCAAGTTACCCGGCAAGGTGAGTTTGTATGATACAACCTGGCAACTCACCTTGGCAAGTTCTGGCAGAAAGACACAAAATCTTGCCCAGGTGAAATGACTTATTTTACCATCCATGTAAACACTTTACTCAGGAAAGGTAGAAATGTGTCTTGCATTTAAAATAATAGCTTACAAATAAATATGAATCATTAGATATCAGCTTTCCTGAATTTCTTGGCATTAATTCTTGTATTATCATTATATTTTGTATGTAATGATTTTAAATCTTTTAAGCGAATTTGTGTTTTGCGCAAATTTATGCTAAGTTTCAGTTTATATGGAATTTGCTTAGCAAATGCTATATAAGCCAATTCCATACAAACAGTAACTTGCCTTGCTTGCATGGCTAACTCACTCGCCTTTGTTATTTACAGGCCTCAACTATCCGGCAATCTAGCTGGCTAGTTTCTGTGTGAATTGCAACACACAGGACAGGCTTTTCCACAAACTAACAAGAAATTTCCCCTGCATTATTGGCAAGAAAATGGAAGTTTATGTTTATTTGGCAAACTGCTATAGGTCTGTTAATATCACTAACATCTTATTTCTTATGCCTACTTATTTTCAACTGAGGGGATAGAAATATTCAGCCAAGTTTATCCATTCCTGTTTTGCTTTGAATTGAATACATGTTGATTTTTTATAGATTCTAAGATCATACATAATTTTCAAAATTTGCATGGAATATTCAGCTCTGGAAAGAAGTCCAAGCACTAAAGGTTTGTAATTATGAAAATAAATTGGTAAATTCACCCTTACAGATTTATTGCATCCATGTCATTTTCCAGGGTTATAGAAAGTTTTAGGCATAGGTTAATTAGCATAATTATATACTGAGTGAACTTTGGCAACATTAGACAGATTTAGATTCAGGATCAGGGCCATACGCAAGATTTTTTCACCAGGGGGCAGTAAGGCCTATATGCCGAAAAAAGTCCCAAATATCCAAAGAATAATTAATAATGACATTCTAAAAATCGTAAATATAGTTTTCTTTGGGGGCAGCTGCCACCCTTACCCCACCCCCGCTGTGTACGGCCCTGTTCAGGATGTGTGATGGTGTGAAAATATTGCAGTTTATTTATAGCTTCCAGATCTGTCCACCATGCAGTAATTGACCTTGTCTTGATGTTCGCATCTTCAATTTAAAAGCTCTTTTGCACTCATTGCACAATCAAGTGACCAGCCCGCTGTGAGTGCTTCCATCTGATTGAAATAAAGTGTTGAGCATTGTGATTGGATAAAATTTCTTGCAGCTAGCTTTCGAGTTGGTTTTTGCCATGAGTGGAGGAGGGTCTTAAGTCTGTTTTGTTCACACAGCCAATGTGAAAGTCTATTTTATTTTTACTTTATATTGAAATGACTATGTAATTAATCATATATCATGCATACTGTACATCCATGTAATTCTTTGTTAGGATAACGAAGACCATGAAGTTTGGTGCTCCAAACGTTCTGGTAATGTACCTGTCCTCTTGGTGGAAAAGACGAAATGTTACCTACAGTGTTATCGTGGGAAAGGGAATTCTGGCGGAAGTGGACGTAACAGAGCTGAATGAAGCACTGCAGTGCTGGCAAGTTTTTATCTTTTAATTTTTGATTATCCACACTTTCCGGAGATTGGATTAATTGTTCTCCAGCATTATGTATTTCAAGACATTAATGTGCTTCAAGAGGTTGCTGGTTTATTTCAGTCAGCACTAACAAGTTTCGGAAAATTCAAGGCTGATTTAGGGAAAGTACATTTATTATGCCGAGGGGGGGGGATGAAGATGTTAAGGGGGGGCTCCGAAATATTTTCTGGCATTAAAGGGGGGGCTCTGAAAGTTCTTGATATACTGAAGGGGGGGGCTCTAAACTTTTCAAAGGTTTGACCCCAGCAAATAAAAGTTAAAATTTTTACATCAGTTTCAGGTAAAATTTGCGTAATAAAGTAATTATTTTTGTGAAATGATAACCATTTTTGTAAAATACAGTCAATTTACATGCAATTTGTTTGCGAAATTTGCTTTAGAAAACGCCA